CGGCAACGCCAATGATGGTGATGGTGGTGGAACAGTGTTTCAGTCGAATCGTTTGGAAAAACGGTTTAGAAACGGTTTAGTGTCGAGATATACTTCTCGTTTGATTCTCGAGATTTCGATTCCCGCGTACAGATCGCGTTGTTGTCACTTACACTAGCGAATCGCGATGATTGCAGACGCGGAACGGTCGGGGAGAGCGAATGATCCGAACTCGCAAACCCAGGCGGCGCTGGAGAACAAGCACAACATGGAGCAGAGGGAACAGTACTACGCGACCGTGAGGAAGCCGGGGCAGCAGTCGCCCTGTCGCGAGGTGAGCGCCCTGGAAAGAATACCCGAATATTCCGAAGACATTTATCCGTACGCCACCTTCAATCTGCCCGAGCAGGAAAACCTGTCGGCGAACCCGATGCGACAGGCGTTCTACTACGAACGCAGCGAAACCATGCTGCAAGGCAATCAGGTACGAGTACAAAGTAACGTGAATGATAAACCGTCGCACGCAACGTGTAATTTAATCGATCGAAAGAGACCTTTCCTTCCTTTCGTCGTGCGGGAAAGAAATGTATCTTCGTCGTGTCGAAGAAAAGGATCGAGTCGATGTGATGTATTGCTTCTACACACATGTGCGCGCACACATACACACACACGTAGACGTGTATATCCCGCGAGAGATGAAAGTAGCGTGCACGATACGATCTCGCGTATAAACGTAAGGCGACTTCCCTCCATCGATGTGTCTTGGTTCGAGACTCGCTCGTCCCGAAGTAAACGACTCTCCGAGGTCGGGCAAAAACTCGTTACCGATACGATACACCGGGATGAATCTCGATGAAGGGATGCTTTGGGAAAGTGATATAATAGCGTGGAAATCTAATTTTTCGATTTCGAGTGGGAGTACATCGAATCGAAAAATTGAAGAAAGTGAGTGGATAGGTGGGACGAGAGGAAGAGAGGTTTGATTAACTTTGACACACGTTTCAGTGCGACATGGAGCAGTACACGAAGGTGCGAGGAAGGGCGAGGCGGAAGTCGAAGTCGTTCAAATCGGAATCGGAGGAGTACGACACCCTGGGCTCGGACAGCGACACGGAGGTCGGTACCAGCAGTCGGACCGAGTCCTCGAACCATCTGGACGACTCCGGGCCGGCGTCGATAATGACGCGTTCCCCGGGGCCGAATTCGATCGGGCAGAGGGAGCAGCGACTAGCCCTGGTCCCGAGGCCGGTTCATCATAGTAAGTTAGTATTCGATTTTCTGTGTCGACGCCGGCAACAGCCTTAAAACGTCATCCAAGCCGCCACTAACGCATCACGTTTCTCGCATCCACGTGTCTCGCGTGCACCTTCTAGATGTGCTGTACCACACGCACGAATCAAGTACATCAACCGAGCCGTCACCAATTTCTGAGAGGAAGACTTTCCCGAGGCTCGAGAAGCAAAGGTAACGTTCCGCCTCCATTCGAAAACGATCTCGACGGAATAGATTGGAAAACGATTATCGAGGCCGATAATTCCTTCCGATTCCCTTCCCTGATTTGCAGGAATCAAGGAGCAACGGCCGACATAGGGATGGACGGTCGAGTGCCGGGGATACTGCGCCCCGTGATGAAGCTCTCGGAATCCGGGATGCATTCGTATTCGAGGGGAGCGTCGCCGAGTCAGCCTGGGAGGCCTGGGTCCTGCGATCGGCTGGGCAAAGATCCGAGCCCGAGGAAGTCGGTAGAGTCGTTGTGCCTGCTGGAGGAACCCGGATCGTCCAGAATGGCAAGGAGGGAAGAGGACTGGGGCAGCGAGCTGTCTACGTTGGAACTGAAACCGCCGACAGGTTTCACGGACGCGCACGAGACCAGCGAGGCCGAGTGCGATATCGACATGAAGCTGAAGCTCCACAGGAAGAGGACGGGTTTTCCTTCTAACTCGCTCTCCAAATCACCTAAAGACTTCACTATCACTGTCTAAGTGTGTTGATCAAATATTCGAAGAAAAAAATAAAAAAAAAAAAAATGAAACGAAACGAAACGAAATGAAACGAAATGAAAAAAACGAAACGCTAAAACGAAACGAGTAAAGAAAAAAAAAAACGATATATCGCATAAGGAACACAGATACACGCACGTACATACAGACACACAGACACGTAAAATAATAAAGATGCCAAAGCATGATGAGTGTTAATTCAAAAAAGCAAAAATGTAAAAAAAAAAAAAATGAAACGCAAAATGAAAATTTCCTCGCCGATGAGATTGTCGGGATCCCCCAACGCTTCTCTGTGGATGGATGACTGTCTTTCCGTGTAACTACCGTCGACGATCCATTTACAATAAAGAGGTATTTTTGTAAGAAAAACCGGAAAAGAAGCTAATCCTTGAGTGATTTTTTTTCGTCAACCTTATCTCCCATATATATATATATATGTATGTATACGATGAAACGTATCGAAGAACATTATTATTCCGTGTTATTTTCCCTAAATGTCAACGGAGTTTATCGATTTCAAGTTTAAATTCATCGACAATTGATGGTGGTACTTCGTTACGAACGGTGATCGAATAGATAACATCGAAGCGAATTTGGAAATTCGAACCGATCGATCGCTATTCCATCCTGGCGAGGACAGTGATTCGTTAAAATGACAATTTGTGGCCATAGACGCGGTCATAAACGAGACGTCAATCAGCTTAATTACCAACGCTTATCAGTTGCGCGTCAGTCGTGTTTCTACGGGACAGAAATTCGATTCTGTCTGGAGTCAGAATCGTTGCGTTTGTCTTCCTGATCGATAAACGATACGTTCGAATGTGTTTTACCGATTTTATATCTGTTTGATATCGATTCGATTCTTCTTAAAAATTATACAGTAAATATTACTGTATGAACTTGAATTTTCCATTTAATAAAGAGACTTAAAAATTCGAAGCGCATCATTAAGATGTACTGTTTTGCGAATTCGTTTTAAAAATATATTTTAAAACTGAGTTATATTTTTTTACATTAAATATTAAGATATATATATATGTAGTTTTGAAAAAGAAAAAACGATAAAATTGTAGTCGGTTAAAGTTCTGTGGCAGGAATAAGTATAAACAAGGAAAAGAAATAATAAGAGGAAGATAGACATAGAGTAAAAATATTGAAATCAACGCCATCTTCAGAGTGCCGTAAACGAAACAGGGCGAGGAAAGGATAGAGAATAATAGAAAAAAGATAGAAATAGAATCAGAATTGGCTATCAGCACCATCTTCCGAGTCTTATTTAAAGATATTTCTTTTTGGGACTCGATAGATGACGCTAATTTTAGATTCTTATTCTTCTTTATCCTTTGAAGAAATGTTTTTGATTCTCAAGAGATGGCGTTGATAGTTAATTCTTATCCTATCTTTATCTTTTTCTAATTATTTTTTATCCTTTTTACGTATGTTTCATTTGCGGCACTCTGAAGATGGCGTTCATTTCAATATTTTTACCCTATCTCTGTCTTTCTTCCATTATTTCCTCTCCTTATCTATACTTTACATTTACGCGCCCGAAAGACGAGTTCGGTACCTGATTTAAACTTTATCGTTTCTTTTGACTAATCTATTAATTAAAAATCTTAACAACGAGTTAAGAAATCTAATTTTTATACGAAAAGAAATTATTTCTTAAATCCGCTAAGTTTTGCGATTGAAATAATAAATCCTGCGCTCATCGCTCCAAATCAAAAAGCATACGAAACAACAAATGCAACAATGGGATGAGAAAAAAAAAAGCGTTAAAAATTTCCTAGAACATTTACCATAGATAATGATGAAAAATTTTAAATCGATATTCTTACTATAAAAAAAAAAAAAAAAGAAAAATCCAAGCAAACATCGAGAAGAGTTTCTGATAATCTATAATCTACTATCGATAAATGCAAAATAAATCAATGACGAACGAAAAAAAAAAGAAAAATGAAAATATCGATGTACTAGCATGATTTGTACCCATGATCGATATAATGAAAAAAACTCAAGATTATTTTCGATAGTAAGAAGTGTATATTACTACAACATACTTGTGGGATATCGATTGCAACAATGATCGCATCAGAGAAGGGGTGGGGAGCTGGAGCGGGGGTTTGCTACTCTTCTACACGGCGGATACGTTATACAACAAAGAAAAAATACACACATATTAGCTGTGACAATAATTTGTTCGCGTATCAATACGTGTGTCGTGTAGTTGCATTTTTTCTTTTTTTCCCTTCTTCTTCTTCTTCTTTTTTTTTTCTTTTTCTTTTTTTTCACCAGGATAGATTACAAGAAAAGTCGCATATAGAAAAAACGGAAACTACTTCACTCGAATCGTGATAGATTGTATCGAACGCGGAATGGTGCCTGATCGTTCGGCCCACCCCGTTTTCACGTCTATAAAATTATCATAAAAATACGTATATGGCAGTCAAACAATGTTTCGTTTTCGTTGATCGTCTAAAAAAATGGGCGTGGAATGTCTCTTCACTTTTTTTTTTTGTTCCTTCTTTCTTTCTTTTTTCGTTTTGTTCCGTTTCATTTTTTTTATCATTTTTCGTTTGTTAAAAAATTCGCGTAAACGATGATTGGCAGACAGTCGTTGGCAATGTTTCGTTTTCTTTTTTTTTTTTTTTTTTTTTT